ATATGTATGCCGCTGCTGGTAATCAACAATTTTTGGTTTGGCTTCAAGGTTTCCTCATCTTATAGATCATCAAAAGTGTATCTTTCATGCAAGGGTATTAGACATGAGCCCATGTCAGCGCCATAGTGACGGATGGAAACATCCACATTCAGCGGCGGAGCCAGGATTATACCAAGAGTACGGCTTAATCACTAGATTACGAACATCTTGAACAAATTTTAATAAGAAAATTAGCAAATTCCTTGTATTTTTTCTACCGGGTATGGGGCTCAAGCCCAAGCTACCCCACACCTGGCTCCACCCCTGTCTACATTGTATAAATTAGCATTGGTTGCATTGTGGGTTCCTACTACAATAAATAAAAAGAGCAATCTCCAACTTGCAACAATATGCAATAACGCATGGGCCCAACCACGTTCTCGCTGCACTAGAATCAAACCTTATGCCTAGTAACTAGTTTTGGTGAGAGTGCCTACCATAAACGCCGAAGTGTATGAGAGTGACTCCATACACTTCATGTAACATTGCAAATGCTTTTAAATGCTAGCTACATAAATCATTTGATGCACTCTTGGGAAGCAATTATGAACGCAATGTCTCCATTTTACTTTACTCAAATAGAAGTACTGTTAGCTATGGGGCATACATATCATGCAACCATCTAATAGTGGTGACGGAAATAAGATTACCCGATAAAATATATTGCATGAATGAATCTAGGATGATAGAAAGTGCCGTTGTTTATCCTATGTACCTAGGCCAACACACAGCTTACATGAATCCAGTCTACTTGGTGCAAAGGCCCTTCCATACTACTGCAACTCAGGGCTATCATGCCACCTGCTCACATATTCAATACAGAAGGATTGCTGACCATTTTTCATGCCTTTTCCTAATGCCTTCCGCTCCAAACCAGTTGACCGCTAATTGTTACAAATATATAAATTTAGATGACATTCACTTATCTCTCTAGAAACCATAACTAGAAACTAGAGAGGAATGCTAGGTGACGCTGCTGGGAGGAATAATTTAGGCTTGGGAAGCATGGGGAAAAGGTTTCTGATAGAGAGAAATTCTACCATCTCTTTTTCTTCCCAGTGCCTTTCAGCATAGGAACAGTAAGAAATATCTGGGAGTCTCCCTATTTAGAACATGGGATGGACGGTGCTATACTGGAGCTCTTTGCACCACAGAGCTGAGGGTCTCAACTCTCAAAGCATTGAGTGAATTTTTCCCTCAAAACATAGCATACATGCTCCGTGAGTTCCATGCATATACGGAGAAAAATGGATAGCGATGATTTATATGGACAACATGACAATGGATTTTGCAATGTAGAGAAAGAGGGATGTTTGGTTGCTTACTAACTTTGCCAAACCTCATATTAGGCAAGGTGTGGCTGCCACAAAATGTGTGGCTAGCAAAATGCTAGCCACAACTTAGCCAAAGTTAGCAAAAAATATTAGTGTATGACATGTGGGGCCATATAGAGAAAATGTGTGGCTAGCCACAGTTGTGTCATGAACCAAACAATAGCTAAAAAACTGTGGCATGACTAACTTTAGGCGTGGCAATTTGTGGCATGCAACCAAACAACCAGCGTGGCACTCAAGTGCCTTCATCTGTGCGTTCGGCAGCAGGTGATAGAGAGAAGATTTCTTTCGATTTTCGCACGAATGCTTTCCAAACTACTAAATAGTGTGTTTTTTGAAAAAAAAATAGGAAAGTTGCTTTAAAAAATCATATTAATCTATTTTTTAAATTTAAAATAATTAATATTCAATTAATCATGTACTAATAGATCACCTCGTTTAGCGTATTGATCTTCCCAATCTTCTCTTTCCCCTTCTCCTCAAACTTAGTTATTTGAGTTGGTTAAATGGGATACACATCATGGCAGGTTGTTTGAGAAATTAATAGTGTGATTTCTTACACCACTCATGTAAAAATGATCTCTTACAGATATATATACCGGAAGAGACAAACCTACAAAAAATGTCTTTACAAATCATGAATTATATTTCATAGAAAATAAAAATTCATAATCTTTAACTTAGGATTGAAAATTCATCATTGTTATATAATATTAGATTTATATGTCCTTGTTATAGATCACAAACCAAGACTAATACCAAGGTTAAAAGTCAAACGTTGCATTCAAACTTCTATGAAATTAAAGTTCAGGGTTGTCAAGTAGATTTCTTTGTTTAAAATTTAAAGAGATATTGGAAGGGATGTTCAAATTATAAACATGCAAGGGAGAGGCGGAGAGCTTGGGGAATGAAGTATGCTCAATGGACGAGAAAATTAATTTGGATCCACACGTTTATTTGAGGTGTAAAATTTGGACCCACAAATGTGCTCAATGGCTAGTAGCATGTAGAATTTGATTTTATCTTTTAGGAAAGCATTCATGAGGTAAGAACAAATATTTGAAACCCTTAGTTTTAGTTTTTGGTGATAAATCTCAATTATTCGATTATAGAAGAGTATTGGTTATATTTTTTTTTGGAAGGCAGGGTTAGGGCCATATTAGTCACCCCATGGCGTGCATAAAAGCTCTAGCACTTGTGACAACCTTAGGACAACACTCTTTGCATGTAATAAAAAGCACAATGTTCATTTTACTTATATTATGCATGTTCCATTCAACTACTTGAGCTCACATCAATATACAACTATGTTTTTCCATCCTTGCTCACATAGAGGATGATTGCGCATAAGTTCTGTTGAATAGACATGAAAATTAACGAATTGTATTCTTGGAGAGCCTGCTAATAGTGTGCAGAGACGAATTTGCCACTTTAGACTTGTTGATAACTAGGTGGACAAAATGATAAACTAGGAAAACAGGGAGGAATGCAAGTTAATACTATTAAATCAAAGAAGAAGAAATGTTTGGCACACCGGGAAATGCAATTTCATAACTGTGTTTGTGTGGTATACTCATAACTTTTGAAAAACAGACCGCATAAACCACTCTTTTATTTTTTTAAAAAAAAGTTCATTTTAATATCTCAAAATTTTCTCTTGGCCCATATTATTCCGTACTTTTTTTTGCTCAATTAACCTCCAAAAATATCAATAACAATTTGGTTTATCTGACCATGTAATAGCTCAAAGAACAGCCATTACAGAGCGAAGAATGAGATGGGGGATTGATTTGTTTGTTGGTTCGTTTTCTCTCCCATCTTTTATCGCCTTTTTCTATTCACAGCCACTTAATAAATGACAGCTGGAGTACACTGTGGCAAAACCAGTCCAAATCACATCCATGGCAGCTAAAAAGCCTGACATAACCGGATCACATAATAAACTAAAATTATGTGCGTACTTGTGAGTTGTTTGAGAAAAAAATATTGGGGGTAATAAACTAAAATTATGTGCGTACCGGATCAATGCAGTCAGGGCATCCACAATGTACTACAAAACCAGTCCATAGTAAATAAAATAATACATTCACCTACCTAACCACATTGTGGAAGTAGTCTATAGGAGAGAAATAGCAAAAGTCATCCATAAGCATATGGGTTGCCCATATAGAATAAAATATATCATTTATCTCTATTTCCTCTCTCCTCCTCCACCTACTTACTACCTATATACGTTGTATATGTTGCAATAGTTAAAGCCCACAAATGTGGGTCCCATCTATATAGACTGTTAGGAAACGATAGGCGAACAAACGATAAAGAACAAATAGATCAATCACAGATGACACGAGATTTAACGTGGAAATCCCTCCAAAAACAGGAGAGAAAAAACCACGGGCGCCAGCCAGCAAAATATCTTCACTATATCTGAGGTGAGGTTACATCGCCGCATGGTGGCTTACAAGAGGTATATATATGGTGGAACCCTAAATGGGATGATGATCCGTACCCTACGCTCCGGCCCAAGCCTACCGGCGACGGGCCTCCGCTCCACTACGGCAGAAGCTGGCCTTTATTAAGTGCAAATGAATTTGGATCACAACTCAACATGGACTACTTTAGCTATATACATTGGTGTTGCCCTCAAGGGCGTCCCGGCCAAATCGATCCCCGTGCAAAATATTAAAATAGGGCTCTAGTAGCTTAGTAAATTTTTTATAGTAAAATTAGAAACGGGCGTGGAGATCAGCCGATCATCAGCGATGAAGTAGTAGCAGAGGCCGGAGGGGACTGGGGAGAGGAGACGAAGAGGCTGCGGCGTCGGGACTTCGGCGATACGCGACGACGCGGACGCCTAGACGGGAGTAAGATGGAAGATAGATCGGTTCACCTTCTGCAGTGTTCTGGGCCTTGTTTTACTCCTATTTAAACTGCAAATTAAAAAAATTGAAGCCACTAATATTATTATATATAGGACATACTTAATATTTTAGGGGCCCTTAAAATTTGGGGGCCGGTTCGGTCGCACAGCCCGCACGGGCCCAAGGACGCCCTGAATGCATTAAAATGAGCTTCCTTTCGATTTTGCCATAAGAGAAGTTTGATGCATGACAAAGTTTGAGGCAATCTAACAACTCCCAATAACTCTATATTGTCCTACCACGTTGTTACTCATATTCCATCACATTACCATCTCGGGTATGAGGAAGACAATCCTACAAGGTAGATTGATAAATCCAAACTCATCCAACACGAATGACATGGAGAGGCTTGCGTTTGTCTCAGAAGAGTCGTGACTGATCTAGAGGAACTCAGTGAGCAGTGTCGCTGGTCCTGCGACGATGATGATCGAGTTGCTCAGGGAGGTGGTTGTCAGAAAGAGCAACGGCAAATTACAGACTCATGTTGAAACTTTATAGTTTGTCTGCCATCGCAGAAGGGCGCTATAGTATGATAAAAAGACCGAAGGGGAAGGGAGAGGCAAAATAGACATTTCACATCATTAATTCATGCTGTCTGCGGAGAGAAATGCAAAAAAAAAAGAAAAGAAAAAGGCTTTATTTATATTTAATAATAAATTTATAGCAAGAAATACAAATTAGGCTGATTTCACAAAAATTGGCAAAATAGGTAAATTTTGCTGAAGCAAAGCGAGTCCAAGACTAGCCTTCACATTCCGCCACCAAAATCCGGCCGCCAAAACCCTCGCCTCCTTCCCCCCACGCCGCGCTCCGACCTCTCGCCGCCGGCGAGCCCCCGCGTGATCTCCATCCTCCAACGCAGCGCCGCCGCCCGCCCGCGCTCCCGACCACCGCGGCCCTAACGCGCTGCGCCGGGGGAGCTTCCCGTCTCCGCGGCGCTGCTTCGCGTACGCCTCCTCCTCCTCCTCCCGCCGCCGCAATTCCGACCTCCTGATGTGCTCCGAGAAAGGCATCGGGGAGGAGCCGGCTGTTGCCCTCGCCGTCAATCTCTGATTTCCACCCAAGGTTGGGAGCTGGGGCGAGTAGAAATAGTTTCTTTTCTTCGTGTTGCAGTGTTATTGAAGATCTAGCTTTTTTTTTTCCTTTCCTTTCTCTCTTTAGGAGGAGGGATCGAAGCAGGAGGCCTGAGCCCAAGAATCCAGCTGGATTAGGTTACCATTTTCATCAATCTGAGTGTATGCTTGCAGACTATGCATTATTGATTTCTTCTTATGATAATGCAGTAATGTGGTTGTGCTTATTGCTGCCATTTTATAGAAATTTGTCCCAGTAGTCAAAATAATGGGTTGCATTGTGCAATTAACCACTCTATATGCCAGTTATCTTCCCAACTTGGCAGATGACATCCATGTACCGTATTTGTCTTTCCTAATCTTGAGCTTCTTCTCATTTTTGTCGATGTAAATGGCATTTCTGTTTGTGAAAAATATTAGTTTATCTGCCTGTCATAGAGTGGCTAATGCAGCTTTTATTTTCTCGCTTTTTTGGACTGGACAATGGATGTTACAGTTTTATGGCAATTATTTTTCTTTTAGATGACACTGTGGCCTGTAGGACAGACTATTAGGGAACTCTTACAATTAGGTTCTATGAAAGTTTGGATGTTGGCTGCTTGTTATTTTTGGACGTAAACTATTAAATAGACCACATTCAGTTTAGTGATGGCATTATGCACCTCCTTCCTTATTGAACAGGCACTTTCTTTTCATATCACATCTTATTTGTTTAGTTTGCGGAGATGGACTGCTCCTTTCAAAGATAGCTTGTGTTTTCTCTTATCCCATGCTCTGCCATGTTGGTAGAACTGATGCTTCCATTCAGTTTCTTACCCTTATACCGTCATAATATCAAAATGATTTAGGAGATAACATGTCCTTTGTGAAACTTGGAACATTTAGTTTCCATTAATGATTTTGACATTCAATTTGCACAGGTGAATTAGATCTGTCATAGTAAACACTAGCTTTACTTGTGGAATTTATGCAAAGACTTGTTGCAAATGATGTACCCTTTTTCTTCAGAACCTTTATTATGTAAAAAACAGTTGAATACCACTATCAAGACTCCAATAGGTCTACATTGTTTGAGAATGGCATTTCCAGTCCGGTGCAAGACTCCAATAGGTCTTGCATTAAGCTCTGTATTTCTATTGGCCTCTGATTCCTTTTAGGACACTGTAACAGTTGGCTTCTCAAACATAGAAACAGCATATTCTGTTTCATATATTGTGCATCTTGGTCTACTTAAAGGTCTTGTTTATCTTTCTCTAGATGTCTTATCCGGAGTGACTTAAGACACACATTTGGTCGAACTGTATCATGTTCATTTCTCACCACTGGAATTAGAGTAAATCCTTTTGCACTTTGATTGTTCAAGGTTGCGTGTTTTACTAGACAACTTGAGCTTGGTAATGTTCCAAAAAAATATGCTGAAGTTGATAGGAGTTCGCACTTGGCAGACGGTAGGGGGCACATCAAAGGTTTTGATTGTGGGTTGGTAATTTCTTGCCTATTTGGTCGGCACTTTGTTGCTTGGTTCACTTAATTCTTGTTGTGAGCAGTACTTTGGTTACTCTGTGTTCCATGTGGAAATGGGAATTGATTCATTAGAGAATCTGGCCTTTGGGCTCTACTAAAAGGGCCCTAACTCAATATACTTCAGAGCAAAAAAATTAAAAATTTGAGTTCATAATTTGTTTTGTAGTGTGATGAATTTAATAGAGTTATTTCATTAGGTGATAAAAAATTCTTATTGTTTGTAATAAATCAGATTAAGTACATAATTTCAAATCTTTTATTCTATTATGCTTTTTTGCAGGAGTGTTACACCGGCCTTGACACAATTAATTGCAATACTACTGTTTCTGCTGACCTGCTTTGGTCTAGTGGGAGATCAAGTGTTAATGTTTCCGATTTGTGGTATCTCCAGGACAGTGACTGAAAGTACACAAAGAGCTGAACAAAAGAGCTATTGGGTATATTTCCCTTAACAGTTTGTTGGGAACATTTGCCAAATAGGTGGTTCAGAATTGCCTCCAAACCCATGTGTTTCACACACATCTGATCACACCCAATATACACATTCCGTACAATCTTCTCTCGTTTGCAATGGGTCCTCGCCCACCTGGTGGTTCTTCAGATAAAAAAAGTTGTCAAAATGTCACACCAGATAAAGACAGCTCTATGAATTTCTGCCACCAACAATATCCGCAGCACCTATTTTCACAACCACCATATGCAATGAATTTCCCATTCCCACCATTTCCTCACTACCCTCCATACACACAAAATTTGCAATATGCTGTTCCACCACAATATGCTCCATACACATTACCACCTCCTGCTGGAGCTATGCCATCAACATTTTTACCTGCTCCAGTTATTCCATCCAAGGCACCGTCTGACCAAGGCACCCCGCGTTCAATAACTGGTCCAGGAGAACAAGGCACTGACAATGCTGAACCTGAGAAGGCTACTAAGCGACTATATTGGACAGAAAAGGAGGACATAAGATTGGTAAGCATGCCTTGGCCTTTTTTCTATTTGTAATTTTTGGACCTTGCAAATGGCGCACTAACATCTTTCTGCTGGAACAACAGATAAGCGCCTGGTTGATTTATTACAAGACTGACAGGTACTGGGAAAAGGTTGTAGCAGAATACAACAGTACAATCCCTGCAACTCGAAGAAGGGAACTTCAACATGTGAAGGGCCACTGGCACAAGATATTCAGAAAGGTGGCACACTTCCATGATTGTTGGTGCCGGGTTAAGGCAAAATATCCTAGTGGCCACTCTGAGGGCATGCAACTGATGGACAAAACTTGGCTGATGTATAATGAGGAAGCACGTGTGATGTATCTTGAAGAAGCAGAGCATAATTTCGCCTTCGACCATTGCTGGAAAGCAGTTTGGAACCAACCCAAGTGGAAAGCATACATGTCTTGTTTATTTACGAAAAGAACAATGCAGTCTGATTCTTGGGAGTACATGTCGTCTTCTGAAGACTCTGAAGAAATGCCTGGAAAAGAAATAGGTGAAGAAGTTTGCATGACATCTAAGGAAGCTAAAGTTAAGAGGTCAACTTCGTCTTCAGAGATGCAAGAAGACATGCTTATCAAGAACCCTGAGGAGCTGACAGAAGTAGAGCCTTCTATCTCCAATGAAAAGCTTCTGTTGGCCAGTTTGAAACAACAAGATGCTTGCACCAAGGACACAGGAATTTCCAAGAAGCAATCAGAATTATTGACAGCTGATACTTCCTGGCCCACTGGATTTCGTCTTGTTGACACTTCAGAATTGAATGAACATCAACAGGGGTTGGCAGTAAGGGATGATATGCTTGAAAAAGAATCACGTCCACAAGGTTTCGATGCACAAGACAACGAGAGGGCGACAAGGGAAAACATTCCTAGAAAAGAAACACAGCCACGAATTTGCAAGGCACCAAAGTTCAGTCGGAAACGTAAAGGCAAGGCATCGTCTTCCTCATGCGAGGTGCAAGAAGACATCAAACATGCGATGCATCTTCAGACCATGCTTAACAATGATCGTGTGAAGATGTCAGAGGTACAGCTCCGCCTCTCGAAAGAGCAGCTTGAATTGGCCAGAATAAAGCAGGAAGAAGCAAGGGAGAAGAAGGAAACTACACTTTACAAGAAGTACACGGAGCTGTTGCTGGCAGACACTTCAAGGTTCGATGAGTTTCAGAAGGCAGAGTATGAGAAAGCACTGAGGCATATAGGAGGAATGCTATTCAGCAAGGATGGCAATTAGTGCCCTTGCTTCAATTTGTCTTAAAGCGTTACTGTGCAAATGTCATCTCAAGCACTAGCTAGTCATAGATCCTTCTATTCTACCTGTTGAATGAAGGGACTAGTCATAGATCACTTGCAAGTTTAGCCTAGACTTACTGACATCCAGTTTGTGGAACTTGACTAATTGAATCCTGTAAGTGATGGATCAATATGTAGTCAGCTTTAGTTGGCTCGTCTAAGTTCTTAGGAATGTTCATTCAGCTGGCAGAAATGTCCATTTTGCTAACCTGATCTACACTAGCAAGAATGCTTGAACAGTGATGTCTATGCAACATCGACGGCAAGAATGCTTGAACAGCTATAGTGTAGATAAGGCAACCTCTTTGTTGGTTGTCGTGAGAACATTCTGGGGTGTCAGCTGTGATCTCACATTGCATCCCATGCCAAAAACAAAATGTTCCTATTCGGACAAGAGAAAACTAATTATGTTGCATCCCATCTTACTTAGGCTTGTACAAAAGCTTCCTGCATGAACCTCTTTTCTGAAAATAATTTTTCCATGGCGTCTTGATCATCTTATGTAGGTCTATCATAGTATTTCGGGGTATATGTATGACACATATTGGTCCACATCTTGGTGCCTATGGTACTTGGATGAGTTCTGCAGTAAATAAATTGGTTCCAATGAACAAAGCTGGTACCACAAAATAGGTAGATGTTTGGACACTTTAATGTGTCAAATCTGACTAACATTTTATATATATCCATCCCATGCTTTGATCGACGTATTCACACTATAGTTTGAGAAAAGGCATCGAATCAGGAGGAGATTTTGGTCGTGGTCTCGAAATTTTTGCTGTGGAACTTAGGCACTGCTCAGAGATTCTGAGAAGAATTTGCCTTCCTACAGATTGCCAGACTTGAGGAACATTTCTTGTATAATACGTGATGTCCTGGTATCTCCCAAGTCAAAAACTACATGTTTAAGTGTTGCAGAGATATTATTTCTTGCAGTATAAAACTAGTTATGACAACTGCTATAAAATTACACATTGCTTCTTGAATCCAAAAAAAAAAAAAAAACTGGGGACTAGGCTAGAGAGGGCAAGAAGGCAAATTGGAGATGGAAAAGAGGATAGAATTATACAAATGTAAGTATGAAACGGGTCAATTTTTTTTTATATATACAGAGATCAATTTTGGGATCGATATTGGTTTGTAACCAAGTAGAGGAAAGCAATTTTACATAACCGGTTGAGTCAAAATAGGTCACACATTGACGTGGAACAGATACATTGACGGAAATGCTATATGTTAGAACGGAGGGAAAATGATATTAAAGTAACCACGAGCTGTTAGTCATAGAACGGAAATGTTGTTTTTTTGTTGCTATTTTTTTAGGAGAAGGATATTTTTTAGTTCGTCTCTACATCCAACCGGATGTATGCAACCTTTATATATTAAGAACTTAGCCACTCAAACAAACTAATCTGAAATTCGTTTTTATGGAGATTTGAACTTTAAATCTTGATGTACTACTCATGTACTTTTGTTGCTGTAGAACTTACTAGCCATTTGTAAGGTTTCACATTAGCACCTTTGGCTGTTAGTGTAATCATCCCTTGTATGATTTAACCTAGACTTGTTATTAGTGTAATCAATATTTTTATCCCTAAGTCTCAATTTGAGTTGCCCAGGAATGACTATTCTGTTGGCCTTGCTCTCTTAGAAGATCTGATAATTTTTCTAAGAAAATGCAACAAGAACAACGGAACAGAATTTCGTAAACAGTGATTCCTATGCAACGTTTCTAAGGTCGTGAACCCTTTCCCTCCAGCATGCGAAACGGAATAACAGTTTAGCACACAATTAATTAAGTATTAGCTAAAAAATTCTTAAAACATGGATTAATATATATATCTTATTTCGAAACAAACTTTTCTATAGAAAATTAAGTATTAAGTTGATAAGAAAGAGTAAAGAACACGCAAGCAGTCGAGTGGAGTCCCAAAGCAAAGTTTTTGAGTAGTATATCTGTATATATAGAATGTTAACGGCGGCAATTTTGGGGTGATAATCGTTGTTTGGTTGCTCAAGATGCTATAGACGACAGATCAAGCATTTGAGTCTGTCTTTTAATTACAGGAAGCCTGTTATATATCCTCCTCGATTTGAGTTGGCACACAATACAATATTATGAAAGATCTCCCATAAGTGGTTCGATCATCAGCTTAATTAAATGGATTCTTCTTTGTCGATTTGTCACACGGCGTACGTACGAGTCCCCGTTGCATCCCATGCTAAAAAATAATGGTCGTATTCCTACAAGATAGATAATTAAGTTTCAACCTGCAAGCTAAGCTCATCGGCACAAAAGTAAGGTGGCGTTTCAAAAAATAATATTGCGCATGGTGGCTTGATTTTCTTTAGTTCGTCTACACTCCTATTTAACTATTATTATATATATATATATATATTGGCAGTATAAGTATGGAAATATATATATAGGTAACGCCCTGGTATAGTAGCAATATATGGTTTGGATGAATTTTACATTCAGATTGGTTTGAAGAATAAAGAAGGATCTTATAGGTAGGTGGTTTTTTAACGTGTCAATTTCGTCAAACATTTACATTCAATGCCATGAAGAGCATTCACGCTAGTTTCAAACAAAAGGCATCGAGTTAGTCAGAGAAGCAGACAACTCATCTATAGTTTTGACCAAATATCTCAACATGCATTGAGCCACATCATTTAGAAAAAAGAGCTATTGGATCATTTTCATGCTTAATCAACCATTCATTTTTTGTAGATACTATTTCTCATTAATTAGTATATAAATCAGATTGAGTGATTCACTTAGTGTGTAGAATGTTATTGTCATAAGAAGTTACACCAAAGTTCATATCAACCTATAACCTCTCATATCTATGTTTTACAAATTTTGTAATTGTATTGCACACGACAATATCTCGCTGCACCGTGTGGGGTGTCATCTAGTGGACAATATGTTAGTGATATGTCCTAGAGGCAATCATAGAGATGATTGTATCACATACTATATTTACATATTTATCCGACTTTGTTCCTTGAAATAGATAACTTATTATTAGTTAATGAATATGTGATTCTTTCATGAGACTCTTTATGTTATGTGTTGCTATTTCTAAAGGATCCCTGATCAAATATCATATGTGGAACAAATATGTTTAGATGATCAGCACATGTATTAATTGATGATCATGTCTCATGGATCATGGTATAGAGAGATACCAAATTAATAATGTGGACACATGTTGGTGAACATGTTGTTGGATAGACCCAACATGAGACACTGCAAGAGCCATATGTGTTGTGTTATCAGTGATCTCATTTAGTGTTGGTGTTGAATTCTTAGACCTGAGATTATCATAGTTCCCAACATGTGTAGTAGCTTACTTAGGGACTGCTAAACGTTCACTACGCCAGATCGGCCCATTTGTGACGGCCTACCAGTGACGGACCAAAGTGCCTCGTCAGAGATAACCTCATCTGTGACGGGTTACAATAAATCGCGTCATAGATAGGGCTCAAGAAAATAACCCGTCACAGGTAAGTACTCATCTGTGACGGATCTATATAAGGACCCGATACACAACATCTTTGACGTGTCCACATATAGACCCATCACTGATGACCTCTTACCTGTGACGGGTTTTAAGTTTGTAACCCGTCACAGGTGAGATACCTCACCTCAAACGTGTTGGATTTTTATACCCGTCACTGGTGACTTAAAAAAAATTGAAACCTCCACCCCCACCGAGGGGGCCCACCACCCACCCACCAGCTCGGTCTTATCTCCTCTTCTCTTCTCTTCTCTCTTCCTCCTCTCGATCTTCTCGCGGCTTCCTCCTCTCTTCTCTCTTCTCACCCACCACCGGCCGTCGCTCCCGTCCACCCTCCCCCCTCCCCCCACGAACACTGGCGGCCGCGGCCTCCCGCCTCCCTCCCACGACCGCGTCGCCGTCTCCTTCCCTCGCCGCCGGCCTCCAGGAGCTCAGGGCCGCCGCCTCCTCCCGCCGTCTCCCGACAGCCGGTCGCCGGATCCGGCCTCGACGAGTTTGGGGGACGCGGATCCAGCGACTGCCGGCGTCCGCGGCCACCTCCCCCGCCTCCTGACCGCCAGCCGCCGCTGCCTGCCACCGGATCCGACCTCAACAAATTTGGGGGACGCGGATCCGACGGCAGCCGCCTCTCCCGCCGACCAACCGCCGACCGCTGGCGTCCACGGCCACCTCCCCCGCCTCCTGACCGCCAGCCACCGCCGCCTGCCACCTCCCCCGCCGACCAACCGCCGACCGTCGGATCTGGCTGCCTTTATCTGGTGGACGTCCGCACCCTTCCCCCGACGTCCTCCGCCACTCGACGAGGTTGGGTGACGCGGTTGGGTGATGCGGATACGGAGGCCGCCGCCTCCACCCCCCGACTGCCGACCGCCGGCGTCCTCCACGTCTCCTTCACCCACAAGCGCCGCCACCATTTCCGATTCGGTTGGCTATATTCATTGCCAAATTTCAGATTGCTTGTGTGGATTTGTAGTTTGTTAAGATGGGAATCATTACTGTGTGATGAGTGTGATGTATATTGTTACTTAAGTTGTGTGATATGTGATATATATTACTTGTGTGGAAGTGCTTCATATGTTGTTGTTCTCTGATGTTAACATATCTAAGAATAAAATGCAAAGTTTCTATGAATAAAATGCAAAGTTATCGTGTCTTGCATATCGAGATATTGCTGGGGCTGAGGGCTTTTGAATATTTTTTTGGGGTGATTTTTCCTACCTGTGACGGGTGGTGAAATTAAACATGTCAGAGGTGATAGACATCTCTGACGGGTGGCTCCACCCACCCGTCACAGGTTACTCTCATCTGTGACGGGCTCTGAAATACTGGCCCGTCAGAGGTGACTGTCACCTCTGACGGACGGCTACCCGTCAGAGGTGACTGGGACTTATCAGTGACCATTAATCTGTGACCAGACTCAAACCCGTCAAAGGTGATGGTTAGGGCCCGTCACAGGTGAATAGCTCCGGTGTAGTGGTTACTCCATAATTGGGTAGTTATAAAAGTAGTTTTCGGGTATGCTATGAAACATGTAGTGGGATATGAATAATCAAGATGGGATTTGCCCTTTATATGGAGAGATATCTCTGGGCTCCTCGATGTTGTAGATTATGGAAGTGCATGGCTATGCCAAAGGTGATTGAGGAGTCAATCACAAGTTATATAATCTGTCACAGGTTCGAGTGAATGATTGAGCTATTAGAGGATGGCACATATCTAGCCTTGAGCTTAATCGGTATCGTGAGGCAAAGGTGTTCATACAAGTATACACTATAGGTTCAGCCGATATGATCTTTA